TTTTTTTTTTTTTTTTTTTATATGTGCCTGCCACAGCCTGGTTAACCCATCCGGGGAGTCTCACCTGGATTCTGGTGTATGGGAGAGATGCTGGTCGGCGACTGGGTAGGGGGTCTTGGATTCTGCGCGGATGCTGCTGCCTGCGGAGGATCTCATGCATGTTGCGGACTGGCGAGTCAGTCCGTGCACTGCAACGGCGCTGGCGTGGGCTGAATGTCAGGACTGGTATGGCGGCATTTCTGAAGACAGGGGTTCACTGTTGCAATGAGATATATTTACCGTGGTAAAAGGCATCTTCTGGCGGTTATTGCTGAGGTCACCGGTTTGATTCCGTCTGGCGGCGGGAACGATCATGAGGGAACAATGAGATGTATTCAGTGTTATTCACTGACACTGACAATAAGATGAACTGAGCATCCCTCTGCTCTACTGGCATGATGGAACAAGTGTTTTTTTTTTTTTTTTGGAACAAGTTTTTCTTTCTTTCTTTCTTTCTTTTTCTGTTCTTGGGACACTTTTCCCGATGATTGAGTATGTGGAAATTGAGGCCCTGTCCAATCATCCAATTTCCTCTACTCCACTGCCATGGGAGAACTTGTGTCCCTTTTTTGGGCTTTTTTTTAATTATTGGCATTTTTTTGCCCATTTTTGGGACATTGTTTTCTCCAGATGGCTGATAAAATTTCCAAAGACCCCAAAATTTTGTGGACTTTTTGTTTTTTCTTAACTCTTCTCCAGGAAAAAAAAATTGGGGTCTTTGGAAAATAATAAAATAAACTTAAATAATAAAATACATTTTGCTGTGCACACTAGATCTTCTTGTGTGTGTCACACTAAAGTCTTATCGAGCATTTACCTGACGTTCACACCATTGCTGCTATGCAATGAGAATTAAAATTATTAAATTTTATTATTTAATATTGTTTTCCAGACTTTTCTTCTGTTCAGAACCAGAGTTGATATTATATTCTCATTGTAATCAACAATAATTTTCATACTTTTTATTTTTTTTCCCCCATACAAATGTGGCATACAGCCTCACCTGGCCGCTTTTTCGAGTTTGAATGAACCTGCCTCATGAGTCCTGGGGCGTGGTCCCACTAGCAAAGAGGATCGGATCAAATGCCTGAATCTGGACGAGCTTATGGAGATGTACAGGAAATCGAGATTGAACTGCTTTTCTGCATCTCTGCATAAAACACATCCAGATTCAGGAGCTCGATCCTATCTTTTTTGCTAATGGGACCTCGCCCCTGGTGTGAAAATTTGGACTTGATTTTTTAGGAAATGATATTTCTCACAAGGCTACCATTTCCTAAAAAATCAAGACTTAAGAGTAACTAGCCGAATGACATATTATATTATTAATATTATTAATTTATTTAATTTTATTATTTGAATTTATTTACTCTGTGTAACGCCGAAGAATCTGAGCCGGTAAGCAGCTGCAGGGTTGGGATGGGTGGTCACTTTGGAAAGGGGGGGGGGGGGGGGGGGGGGGNAGAAAACAAGGGGGCAAGGGAAGGGAGTCGAGTGTTGGCTCACTCGCCAATTTCTTTGTTTTTTTAATTCAATATATGATTTTCTAATTTTTAACAGATTTACTGAGGTAGAGATTCTTCTCCATCATTTCTTCGACTTTCTTGTGGTCTTGGTTTTGACTCTTGAGGCAACTTTTTCCCGTTTTCATCTTTTTTTAAATGTTTATTTTTTTTCTCTGACGTGGGGGTGATGGGTGAAAGAGGGGGGGGGGGGGGGGGGGGGGGGGTTGCAGGCGGGCACTGTATAGTTTCCCAACTTTTCCAGATACTATTGTCCAATTTAATAAATTTAATAAATTTAATAAATTTAATAAATGTAATGAATTTAATGAATTTAATGAATTTATCATTATTGTTAACGTTTTTCCCCCACTGGCTGTGTGCAGGTCAGGGAGGTTGGAAATGTTTTTGCGGAATTTCAGTCCGTCGTCGACAGGCTGAAGGTTTGTTATCTGTAACACCGTCTTGATTCATTCTGATGCCCCCTGTTGAACTGAAGAGACAAACTAACTAGATCGGGAAAGAAAAAAAAAACCTAAAAAAGACATCGTTCAGACCTCCAATGAGGGGAGAAAGGAACAAACAAAAGTCACTTAAAAAAAAAAAAAAAAACCTGAAAAACCTCATCGATGGGGAATACCTTATCGAGGGGAACATGCAGGCAGTCCTTGCTAAGCTCCATTTTTTCTCTCATTCAGATGCAATTAGAGAACAGAGATAACAATCAGCCTCCAATTTTTCAAAGTGTGGTGATTATGACTCGAGTCAATTTACCTTTTGTGTAGACTATAAGCTCGTTCACTCTCTGTAATCAACTGTGTTAACTTTGTTACCTCAGTTAACAACTGACCGCAGTTATTACCGAGGTCACTCTCTGTAATTAACTGTGTTAACTTTGTTAACTCAGAGTTATGCGAGGAATATGAGCGAGAGCGAGAGCGACAGACAGAAATCCAAGTTGCAAAATCACGAAGAAGCTCAGATGGTCACGAACCAAGCAGAGAGTGCAATGCACCAAGACGATACCGTCCAAATAAGAGCAATATACAACGAACTTGAATGCCAAAGTCGCCACTCTCTGGTCACACCGGCACTGTATCCAAAAATGTTGCACTTAATGTCTGGCGCCCAGCGCCCAGCCTATCCTACTCAGTCTATCTAACCTATCTACGTTCTTGCACCGGGATCACTCTGAAGCCGAAGACCAATGTACGTGACTTCAACACCAATGCCGATCACCAGCATACACCAGGTACGTTCTCTCTCCTCCCCTCATCGACCCCTTGGATCCCCTCTTCATGCGCCTCCTACCCGAAGACCACCATCGCCATCACCTGCCCTGCGGCCCAGCTGCTCGGCTATGGCTGCCCGTGTGCCCGCTGCCTCAGCAGCGCCCCTCTCACCACGGCGCCTGTGTGAGCGGCCGACCAGCAGCGCCCATGCAGACACCTGCGCAGCAACGCGGCAGCATGTCCGCATTGCCTGCCTAGTAGACCAGACTGCCCTCCCCTCGGCTGGCCTCTTTCCTTTATGGAAAGTGCAGCCCCTGCTGTGTCTCTGCGTGGGCCTGGCTGGGGAACTTCGCAGTAGCTTCCAGTCGGGCCCCAGTGTCTGCGCCCAGGCCCACTTCTACAGTTAAGGGCCTGCAGTGGGCCCTTTTTGGTTGGGCTCCTACACGGGTAGCGGTCCAGGCTTCAAGTCTTGGCCGCTTTCTCATTGGCTCGCGGAGACTGTGTGACGACAATGCTGCTTTCTCATTGGCCCGTAACTAGTCAGCGATGTGTCGGCCTCACATAGCGTGTGCCCAGGGTGCAACCGCCTGAGCCCTGGGCTCAACTGTACAGCGCAGGTCCTTTGCTTCTGGAAAGAGCCTGGAGGCTCACGTTTCCCTGTAACCAACTGGCGTGCTGCAACTGTCTGAGTACCCACATATGGAAAAATTGTAGGGAACAGGCCTGACGTGGATATTCAGGCCCGCCTTCACGTAGGGCAGGCACAATGCTTGCGGGGGCCCCACAGCCTAGAACAGTTGCATGTCTGTCGGGCCCCTGTGAGGGCTCAGTCCGCGCAGTTAACAACTCACCGCAGTTATTACGGAGGCCACTTCTGCAACGAACACAGTTAACACAGTGAACACAGTTATTACGGAGGCCGCTACTGAGTAAAACAGTGTGTTAACACAGTTAACACAGTGATCACAGTTATTACGGAGGCCGCTTCTGAGTAAAACAAAAACTGTGTTAACACAGTGAACACAGTTAACACAGTTATTTACAGAGAGTGAAGCTCAGTGAACGAACTTATACTCTACACAAAAGTCGTTTAAAGTTTAAAGTTTAAAGTTTAAACTTGGAAACTGCGCAAATTGTGGTAAAAGTGTTTTTCTGAGAAGTTTGCAGAAATAACTGCGAGCGCTGAACTCTTTTGTTCTGCTGTTCAAAATCTGTTCACATTTGTGTTACAGGAAGCAGATGAACAGAGCTGCTTGCCTCGATCTGCTCCCGCACTTCAAGGTGAGACCTTCTTTTCTTTTTCTTTTTTTTTTTTTTTTTTTTTTTTTTTTTTGGAAGAGTAGCATTTTCGAGTTCTTCCTTCTCTTCTTCGTCGATATTCTCAATTTGTAAAATCAACACCAGAGTGACAATTGAGTTACTTCAATTAATATAGTTTACATTACTGTTGGATGGCTGCTGAGGAGTTTTCCTCCTCCTCCTCCTCCTCTTTCTCCACTTAGTGACCCAGTTTCATAATCTAATGTCATTTCGTGAAATGGATGGGATGGGATGGGATTGGGATGGGGATGGGCATGGGGATTGGGATGGGATCGAGATTGGGATGGGATTGGGATTGGGATGGGAGGGGGATGGGATGGGGGATTGGGATTGGGATGGAAATGGCCTTTGTCCGAAAGTCGCATCCACGGCATCCGAAAGTCGCGATGAGGGTCCCGCGGGCCGATATGTGGTCTAGTGCCTGACGGTGGATAAATCTCATCGATGGCCTTTGTCGCGTCCACGGCATCCGAAAGTCGCAATGCGGGTCCCGCGGCCGATGTACGGGCCAAGTACTGGTGGTTTAAACCGCTAGTACACACGGCCCCAGCCTTGCAGAAAGTTTTTGTCGCCACAAGCAAAACTCGGAGGCGCCGCACGGTCAGGCCTGCTGTTGACAAAAAAAAAATTGGCACCCTCCAAAGTGGTCAGGAGGGTTTCATGCTGACGCCCGCAGGCCGATATGTGATTTACTGGTGGTTGTTAAACGCTCTCAGACTGCTGCGGGCGACGCATGTGCCCTACCTGACCACAGCAAATCTCTGGTTGGTTGCCTGCGTCTGCCTGAATGTTCGCTGCCGCCCGGTCGACGAACAAGATAGGTATTCGGGTCTAGCTATACACTGGCATTCACAACTTTTCACGATCTCACACACACGAGCAATGCCACGCAATCGTAGTCAAAAATTGCCGAAAGAGGCGGTGGACCTTTTGACAACAGTGAAAAACGAGTAAAGTAAAAACTTGTACGTCGTCTGCGCGCAGAGTAGCAAAGCGAGTTGAATCGCGTTACCTGCGACAAGTATCTCCATCAACCTTCACCCAAAACTATGCCTCCTTACGGCCAGCCAACCAGATTGGGGGAAGATATTTCGGTTGGTCTCGGCAAAGGGCGGGCGAGAGCAACCGGGTCGGCGAACAAGGCTCGCAGAGATGTCTATCTGTCCTGCAAAGTGAAACGGGCACCTGAACTGACGGGTGTTCTGCAGGTCAGGCCTTTGCAGGCGAAGGGAATTTTTTAAAATTTATTATTATTAGTATTATTATTGAATGATTATTATTTTTTTGGAAATGGGATTGTCACAGGTGCGATTAAGATGAGAGAAAAATTCATAAAAAAATAAATCATTTGTAACTGTTTGATGATGATGTCCTTGGTCGTCCACAGAGCTGCGGACAAGAATGGAGGTGGACATTTCTCAGGGTGGGAAAATATATGACGATATTGCGAGAAAGCTGGCAGAG